AGACCAACATCCTCTTCTGACCTCCACGGCACCTGTGTATGAACATTGCATAGACATACATGCTGGCAACACTCATAATAACCATACACATAACTGGACCAAACCCAGGACTTTGCACTTGCAAGGCAAACACTCTACCTCTGAGCTAAATCCCTAATCTCAATAATAATTTTTAATAAAAAAAATAAGGTGGCACGTGATGGAGGAAGCCTGCATATGCACACACAGACACACACACACACACACACATGCACACACACACATGCACACACAGACACACACAGACACACATCAAAAAGAGAATGAGAGGGAGAAGGGGCATTGAATCCAGTCTTCAACCCTATCAGTGGCCTCTATCCAGGGCCTCTGGGGAGGTGACCTTGAAGGAGACAGAAGTATGCACAGTAGGAGCTGGTGGGCACTGTGTCAGATGCTGTGCCTTTAAGATGCAGTCAGCCATTGGTATGGTCACCCGAGGAAGTGTTGATGGGAAACGGGGAGTGTGATAGTCTCTGGGGTGCTACACCTTGTGCCAGGGCTTGATTTGGGGCTCCTGCAAGGGCTGTCCTGGCTTAGCTGGGGCACGGGAGAATGGGGAAGAGTGCCACCAGAGTGGGAAGAACAGGGAGAGTAAGGTCAGGAGGTCCGCTGGGGAGATGACAGCGGTGGGGCCAAGGCTTGGAGAGGGCAGCCGGGTCTGGTCTCACCACCTGCAGAGCTGGGTAGCTGAGGAGCAAAGGTAGATGAAAGGCGGGTTTGGGGAGCTCAGCTGTGGAGGACAGGGGATTGAGTGGGATTGGAGGAAAAGCCGAATGTGGCCTAAGGGCTGGGAATGTGATGCTTAGCTTGGAACAGGTTAGCAGTTCAGAAATGACTGGCAAGGGAGGCGGCAGAGAGGGAGCAGGGAAAAATGTAGGGATACTTACATGGGGCCTGGATTGTGTGTGGGGAGGGGAGGTCACCCCACAAAGGCACCAGGAAGAGGATTTGTGCATTCTGGGGGAAGGGTCTCAGTGGGATCAGGCAGGGAAGACCCAGAAGGGGAAGGCCCAAGTGCATCTAAGATGGGTGAGTGGGGCCTCATGCCAGGTTTGGGGACAGGCTATTACTGGTTAGATGAATAGGGGTGGAGGACACCAGAATTCTAACCCCACTGCCCCAATCCAAGGGGCATTCCAGCCTGTGCCACACTCCTGTTCACTCCCGGTTCTCCCACAGGGACCAGGGCTGTGACTACTGGATCAGAACTTTTGTTCCGAGCTCCAGGGCTGGCCGGTTCACCTTGGGAAACATTCGCAGTGAGTCCTGAGAGGAGTGGGGCCCTTGTCCCTCTACCCAGACTCTGTAATGGGGAGAGGCACTCTGGAAGTCGGGTAGAAAGTACACAACACCCGCCTTCCTCTTCTCCAGGGCAGAACCCATCCCCTGTCCTTCTCGCCCGCAGGTTATCCTCGGCTACGGAGCTACAATGTACAAGTGGCCACTACTGACTACGACCAGTTCGCCATGGTGTTTTTCAAGAAGAAGACTTCTGGAAACAAACAGTACTTCAAGGTCACCCTGTATGGTGAGTTCTTGACTGACTCTTCGGGACTCAACTTCCGGTTACACTCAAGGTTGGGATCCCACAGTCTCAGCCCAGGGAGGGGTCTCTCTGCAGACCTCCACGGTTAACAAGTCTGAGACCTCACTTGATAGTTCAGTGATACGTATGGAGTGTCCCGTGATCACTCTCTGCTGATCTTGGTTGCAGGAAGAACCAAGGAACTGCCTGATGAACTAAAGGAGCAATTTGTCCGCTTTGCCAAGTCTTTGGGCCTAACAGATAACCACATCATCTTCTCTGTCCCCACCGGTAATGGCCAGCTGGGGACAGGGGAAAGGGATGTGGGGATGTGGGAACTGTCCAGGCTGATACCTGCCCACCAGAGAAAGGGAAGACACGGTCCCTTGCTCTAGCCACTAGGATCTACCTTGAGGTCTGGAAGACACCCTGGGGTCTGTGGAGTCCTTAGGGATCCCAGCCCTAAGTTTTCCTTCTGCCAGTTGACCCAGAACATTCCCAGATGAGGGAACCAGGTCTGTGTCCAAACACCCTCAGCAGTGCTGCCCAAACCACTTCTGCCTACAGCTGGAATCTTGAACAAACAAGCCTACAAACCCTGAACCTTGCTGTCTGGGGCCTCTCCCCGTCCCATGACTTGGGAGACATCTTGTTTTCAAGCAGCCTGGGCAGGAGGCTCCAGTCAGGTCACTAAGAGCCACCAGCTGAGATGCTACCAGGGCCCAGCAGATAAACAGGCAGAAAGCCTGGGCACACGGTCCGCTAAGTACCTCCCACCCCTGCGCTTTGACAGTCCTTTGGGGCTTTCTCTCATGTCGTCTGTTCCACATGGGTCCTATTGCTGTCCCAATCCTGAAAGAAGTCCCAGATCTTTTGTAGTTGGGTTAGTCTGGACCTGAGGAAGCACAGGTTCCCAGTGGCCAAACATCACAAACGCGTGCCCCCTGTACTCTGTTCTGACACACTTTCTCTCCTACAGACCAATGCATTGACAACTGAACAGGCGGTGAGTGTGGCTGGGATGGGCAGGGGCCCGGTGGGAGACCGGGGCATAGGGGACGGGGCCTCCAGCCTGTGGCTGGCTGGGATGACCAGCGACCCGGTGGGAGGTCAGGGCATAGGGGACGGGGACGGGGGTCTCCAGCTTGTCTTTGTTCTTCCCCTGAACTGTGGTGTTCTGATTCTGCTACAGTTTCTCAGGTGCTTCCTGTCTGTCCCCAGTCCCATCTGTCCTGTTGCAAGAGAGCCACCTGGTTACCCCACCAGCCACAATACCAATGAGTAGCAGATGACTCCTCTTATCTGGGCAGCACTGCCCAGCCACCTGCCCCAATGGCACCCCCTTGTCTGCTAAATAAACGCATATCCCAAATTCTCTGAGTCTGTGCTGCTTAACCCCATAACGATAAGGGGAGGGGCAGAGGGTGGGTTCACCAGTGTTAGTCCAGCGTGATGGTAGGGCTGTAGAAAGAAGGCTCAGGGAAAAGAAGGCTCCAGAACTCCAGCCTCGCCCCAACTTCCACCATCGTGACCACTAACTGCCCCAAGTCCCTCCTATACAGAACAATATTACACTTGCTGCTGTTTTGGCTTGGTGCCCCCAGCGAGGGCAACACCAGCTTCTCCGTGCCTTGTCTCCAATGGGCATCTTGCACCTGGCCACCTGTCATAGGTGCCAAAGGGCAGCCCCTCTGGAACTTGGAAGTTGGGAGAGCCTGGAGGGGTATGAGGTACAGATACCCCACATTCATCCGGACCCTGTGATTGCTAGGAGTCTGCAGCCATTTCTCTTCCCCCTTCCCAGAATGCGTGAGGTTCCAAATGAACCCCTTTCCCATCTCATGCACAAACGCTGCCCTTTTCACCTTGACTGAAAAGAGAAGTGTGTCAAGTGGCGATCAGCCACACCCACAGTCCTGCAGGGGGCAGCACAGACCTGAGACCCAGCTCAGCTTAAAGGGTTGAAATCTGGGCTGGATTTAAGGAAGAGATCTGACTGACACAGGCTGAGCAGCCAGGGAGGGATAGAGGCAATGCTCAAGTCCAGGAAGGTTCCAGATGGAGAGGTACAGCTAAGACGTACTGGTTAAAGCCTTGATGACTAGCCAGGAAAGGAAGCTACACCCCACATACTTCACTCCTGGGCTCCAATTTGAACACAGATCTAATTTCTTTCATTCTTTTGGATCAGAGTCTTACTATGTATCCCTGGCTGGTCTGGAACTCTATGAAGAGCAGACTGGCCTTGACCTCATAGAGCTCTGCCTGCTTCTGCTTCCAAAGGGCTGGGATTAAAGGCATGCATCACTATGCCCAGATTATTTATGTATGTTTATTTATTTATGTATATTTATTTATGTTTTGCCTACCTATACGGACGTGAACCACATACATGCCATAGTTCTCATAGAGGCCAGAAGGAGGAGGCGGATCTCCTGGAGCTGAAGTTACAGAGAGTCATAAGCCACCATGTTGGGTGCTGGGAATTGAACCCAAGTCCTTCAGAACAGACAGGGGTTTTTGATTTTTCAAGACAGGGTTTCTCTGTGTAACAGTCCTGATTGTCCTAGAACACGCTCTGTAGACTAGGCTGGTCTTGAACTCACAAAGATCCGCTGCCTCTACCTCCCAAGTGCCAGGATTAAAGGTGTGCACTACCACTGCCCAGTTTATTTTTTACTTTTAATGAGTGTGTGTGTGTGTATCTGTCTGTCTGTGGTGCACACTGAGTGCAAGTGCTTGAGGAAGCCAGAGGCATTGAATTTCCCTGGAGCTGGCATTACAGGTGGATGCCAACCACCTGCTTCATGCCCTATTTATTGGCATTGATCAAACGGACTGGATCTACATCTATTGTCCAGGCTGGAGTCTGGTCTGATTTCTAGCCATAAGTGTAGTCTTTGAGAGCCCGAAGAGAAGGGATAAGGCCAAGATAGGACGCGGTTGTAGGTCATCTCTGCTGCACCTGGGGGAGATGAGAAGAATGCGGATTCCTCGTGACTGGGAATAAAGTTCTCGAAGCTATATAAAGCCGGGGGCCGGGCGGTGGTGGCGCATGCCTTTATTTCCAGCACTCGGGATGCAGAAGCAGGAGGATCTTTGAGTTCGAGGCCAGCCTGGTCTACAGAACTAGTTCCAGGACAGGTTCCAAAGCTACGGAGAAACCCTGTCTCGAAAAAAAAGAAAAAGAAAAGAAAAAAAAAGGGACGAAAGCAGCAGGACGGAGCCTAGTAGAAGTCTCAAGCTCTAGCGGGCCAGGGTTTCTACTGCCTGGCTTTCAGTGAGTGCGCTGGCTCTGGCCGAGAGACTAGGGCCACACGGAAGTGAGAGGAGGAGCCCGAGAGAGGACGGGGGCGGAGCCCCGCCTGAGGGCGTGGCTTGCGAGGTCTGGGGCAGGGCTCTGGGCGGGGCTCAGGGCGGGCCGGGGTGCGCCGCTGCATTCCACCCTTCCGGCCCGGCGTTCCATCAGCTGCTTGCACCTTCCGCCCAGCATCGGCTTTCCGCGCGACGGTCGCCAAGTTCCATTTTCGCGTGGCCTCTGCGGTGCCCGAGCCCGCAATGTCGGGCCCCAACGGGGACCTAAGCATGCCAGTGGATGCGGGCGCGGAAGGCGAGAATGACAGCTTCGGGGAAGCAGGTGACTGGGGCGGGGGCGTGCTGCCGAGGCTACCTTTGCTTTGCAGGTGGTGCCGTCCTGGGATCTGGAATGGGACCGGGTTGGGGGTGTGTGTGAGGGACTGAAGAGCTCCTGGGTGGCTCTGGAGTTGTCCCCACAGCCGCCTCGGAGGCAGTGGCGAGCGAGCACTAGCGAACGGATCCCTGGACGCAGCAGTACCGGGGAACTGTCGCTAACCAGCCATGGTTACATAGGGGAAACTGAGGCAGCTTCAGAGAAGCTTGTCGATTTGAGATTTGCTTCAGTCACTTTATTCACCGAAGGGGGGCGGGTCCTGCTTGGCTCTCTGCAGGAGGGGTTGGCTCGGTGGGCGCCCCACTGTGCTGAGTCAGCACCCCAACCTCCTGGCTTTGCTGGTGTGACCTGCTTACCAAGCACTATGTTGGGTGCACAGCACTGCGGAAGCACCTCAGGGGAAGCATCAGCCCACAGACTCCTTTTGCACATCTGGGTACCTCAGTTTTCCCATCTGCAATACTGGGCACATTGGTGTCTCCTGTATTGAGATGTGTGGGGATTAACGGGCAGAATGGAATGGAAAATGGTTAGACTCTAAGCTTCCAGCGTACAAGTTCCTTCTGAAAGTGGATAGTGCTTTTATTTTTTTTTCTTATCATAGTCAAGCCTGGTGCCTTACCGAGAGAGCAGGACTTGTGCAGTAAGGATGGGGTATGCTTTTGCTTTGTTATAAAAGCTTTATTGAGCTGTAAGTCACACAATAGATTTTTACCACATAAACCGTACAGTTCCGCAGGCTTTCACTGAATTCCCAGCATATCCATTGACACAACAGTTTTAGAATATTTTCACTACCCGGGTTCTGCTGGAGGCAGGTGCTGTGCAGTGACTGCTGGCAGCCATGGTGGAAACATCATAAGGGGACTCGGTGAGGGTGCGGTGTGACCCCGAGTGGACACTGAGATAGTGGGGTACAGGCTATCTGACCCAGGACAGGAGCAGCAGCTAGGAAGCACCCCTGACATCGGTGAAGGCACCACCTCTCCTCACCCCTCAGCTAGCCTGCCATCAAATGGGAAGGATGGGTCTTAACAGCTGTCCATTAAGTTCTTGCTGTGGCCAGACCCCAACTGAGCTCTTGCTGTACTGGAACCTCAGTGTCCCCCACTCCAATAAGGAGATGCTGGGGTACAGACCTTCAGGGTCTCTGACCTTCAGGTCTGAGTCTTGGTCCTGTCACCAAGTAGCTATGGGAAGCTGTTCTGGTTCCTTCCTTTTTAGGCCTCAGTTTCCCCATGTGTACCATGAGGGGTGGACTTTAAGATCCAGCAGCCTTCAGAGGCTCTATCCTCTGTAAGGGATGCCCTTTCTGGGAACCATCCCCCAAAGGCATATCCCAGACACCCTCCCTGGGCCTTTTTCTTAAATCCACCAGCTACTTCCCCTTTGGTCCCATGCTGGCAGCTGAGTGTTTCTGAGTCATGGCTGGCTCAGAACTGGGTCCCACAGTGAGCACAGACCCAGACGTTGGGTCCTGAGGGACATAGGATTGCCAAGAGGCAGGTCAGAAGTCGCTGTAGAGGAAGACGGAGAAGACTCCGAGGAGGAGGTGTTTTGAGCTGGTCCTGAAGGGCTGCTGTGGCCGATGAATTCTAGATGGTAGGCAGCTGAGCAAGAGCAGAGACTGGAAAGTCAGGGCTGCATTCATTCATTCACTCATTCATTCAGTAAGTGCTTACTTGTGTCGTCGAGAGCACTGGGGAAACAGCAGAGAACACAAGACCTGTCACCTCTCCCAGACCTTTATAAGGGAGTGTGAGGTGGGGTCCAGACTATCATCCAGCTCGTCTGCGGGGAAAGCTGTGGAAGGTGGAGGCTAGAGGCTCAGGGCAAAGGCCTGGTCCAGTGTGGGACACCGGGAGGGCTCCCTTTGGTGATAGCCATACCGAGACTTAAGATAAGTGGTATCCATCCCAGAGGGAAAGACAGGGCCACCCAAGGCATTCCAGGCAGAGGGCTTAAGGCGGGCTAAGCCAGTGTGAGGGGAGAAGGGTCTAAAGGGGAAATGGGCTGGGTCTGTCCCAGGGTCTGGAACCTGCAGGACACTACTGTTTAGGCAGAGAGAGCCGCAGAAGGGGCTGGAGGTCAGGCCATGCCTAGACTGGAGCTTTTGATTGCCCAGCTTTGGAACATGGACGTCTAGGGAGCTATGGAAGGAAATGCAGAGGAAGCTTGGCACTGATAGGGCCACCAGCCAGGACACTGCAGATTGCGCCAGGACCACACCGACCCTACAAGGAAGGTGTGCTACGGATGGTTTCTGTGACACTTGTGGCACCTATCCATTTTCTGCACAGTGACACTGGGAATCAGATTGATACTTTCTCTATCAGTCCTGAGGAGACATGGGACCTTCCCTCTGTCTTTTCCCTTCCTCCCAGAGTATGCTGCCATCAACTCCATGTTGGATCAGATCAACTCTTGTCTGGACCACCTGGAGGAGAAGAACGACCACCTCCATGCCCGCCTCCAGGAGCTGTTGGAGTCTAATCGGCAGACACGCCTGGAATTCCAGCAACAACTCGGGGAGGCCCCTAGTGATGCCAGCCCCTAGGTGCCTGCAGCCCCAAACTGGGCCCCGGCCTCGCCTCTCTAGGCCATGTTCTGGCCTGGGTAGATACTACTTGGCTTAGACACCATCTCAGGTACTGGCCTTCGGATCCCCCAGTGGGTCTACCCACCTGGACCAAGCCCCACTGCCCCATCATCCCTTCTGGAGCCAGGTGTGGTCCTACAACTCACTCACTTATCCACCTGCCCAGCTCCAGTCTCTCTCCCCTCCACCCTGGATTGAGTGTCCATATTAAAGAGATCTCCCACACCATTGCCCCTCTTGCCTCTTTGTGTCAGGGTAGGGGCCCCAGTAGCCACTGGGGGCAGATGGAGCAAACTGTGGCTCATAGGCCATGTCATGGGACTGGGGTTCTTAGCCACTTTTCATTTCTAATGCAGAGGATCCAGGCAAGGTCAGGGCTTCCTCCCTACCTGATGTGCTGCCTGCTAGCAGCTGCTCCCCAGCCTGGCAGAGACAGACATGCTGTGTGACTGAGCTCATTCAGCCTCTGGGCACTAGGGCCTTTCACCACGAAAACCGTCCCAAGATCTGACGGTAAGCCTTGGTGCCTTCCACTCAAGCCTTAGTCTTCCCAGCTGGCACTAACAGCCAGGCCATCTTAGCTCTAAAGGTCATTTCGCTATAAATGAGGAAACAACAGAGCTAAGGCTGGGTCCCTTCACTGCTCCTCTCTCTTTGGTTAGGAGGTTTGTGCCCTCTTGGCCAATCAAGAGCTGAACCTCAGCAGCAGGGGGGACCCACCCCCCAATCCCAAATCTTAACTCCATCTCTGCTCTAGCTTTTGTGAGATGCAGCTGGATAGAGGCCAACACACGGGCCAAGAATTTACACCTAGGGTTAAGTCCTGGCCAGGCTGACTTTTGGCAAGTCACATGACCCTGCTAAGGTCTGTTTGTTTATCTGCAACTTGGGGGTAGGAGCAAGACCACCTGCTAGGGTCACCAGCCACAAGAATTTTCTCTCAAGTTGCCTTTCTATACACTATGAGGGAAGTGCCTTGCAGTCCTGTCCCAGAGACCCTGCATTCGGGAAGCCTGACTTCGGTTTCCTGGTCCTTCACCACACTGTGTCCAGAGAGTAGGTGCCCCTCCCTGTATCCACCCGACACAGTGCTGGTGGGGACTGCAAAGCGAAGCAACTCTTTATTGGATTTTGAGTAACAACATCAACCACGTGAACATTTCCACGCAGTACCTAGAAAACATGAGCAGACCGGGCCCTAGTCAGGCTGGCTGGCCGGAGCTCCCTCTCTCAGGTTTTGAGGCGAGCTGAGCGCCGAAGGGAAGGAGGGAGCTTGGGGGATCCAGGCTTCACCTTGCTGGCTATTTTTGCTGTGTCCTGGTGGCTGGGCTGGCTGGGCGGGCGGCCATTGCTGCTGCTGGAGGTGAACAGGGCAGTCAAGGCATTGCGGGCGTTGATTGCGCACCTGCGGCTCACGGGCCGGCTGGCAGGGCTGGGGTTCTTGGCTGCTTTGTATTTCTGGATACAAAAGTTTTCAAGTTAGTTGCAGTGTATGGCACGCCTGGCCAGCAGCTGCTTCCCAACTTGGGCCTAAACAGTAATGATCTGTTGTGTGATCCTCTCTAGGCTCTGGGGTCACCCTCACCCCCACCTGGACCTGCAACACACACAAGCACATAACACAAAGAGCCAAGCCTGAGTTCCTCCCTGCTGCGGGAGTATGCTTGGGCACTGCCTTGGTACAGCAGCAAACAGCTGCTGGTCATGCCCACCAATTTGAACAGGTCGTGCTCCCGGGCAGGGCAGTCAGATGGCCACTCACCTGCAGGTTCTCAAAGTGGGCCAGGGACTTGCAGTGGGAGAGCCGCAATCCTGAGTTACTGTCGTAGAACTTGTGACAGACGCGGCAGACATAGCCCATCGCGGGCACCAGGAAGTCCACACCTGGGGACAGACAGCAGGGGCTGCATACCCAGGTCCCTCCCACCAGCTGAGTGTCCCGCCTGCTCTAGGTGAGAGACGAGAAGAGCACCAGAGGGTGGGCTGCTAGACTGGAGTGCTGTGGCAGCTGGGGGCTTAGCTTGGCGTCTTACCGTATGCCGTGTTGGGGCTGTAAGTCTCTGAGCCTTTCCATTCCTCTAAGGATGTATCTCCTGACCTCACCTGGAGAGGGAGCGAGGGCTCAGATGTGGTGCCTCAGGCCCCACCTGGACACAGGTCAGGGGCCTGCAGTGCACACATGGTCTCCAGAGCGCCAACCATGCCCTCGGCTTACAGCCTGTTCAGGGTGGCCTCCTCTGAGCCACGGCACATGCCGATCCTGCCTCCCAGGTGTCCTGATGACTGTGTTGTGGGTTCCAGTTAGCCCCGTCCTCCAAGCCAGAATAAACACATCCTTTCTGAGGTTGCTTTTTCAGCACATTTGAGTGTGTGCACGCGTGGGTACCTGAGGCTAGCGTCTGTCAAATCTCCAGAACTCTGGAGGCACAGGCAGTCAGGAGCGACCTGACATGGTGTAAGGAACTGAATCCAGGTCCTCTGGGGGCAGCACAGCTTCTCACCACCTACTCAGCTCTCCATCCTTTTTCTTTCTTTCCTTCTTTCCTTCCTTCTTTCTTTCTTTCTTTCTTTTTGAGAGACAGGGTCTTGGTATATGATGGAGCTCTCAACCCTCTGCTTCATCCTCCTTCGTGCTGGAGCCTGTATGACTTTCCTCCCCCAGTACTAGGGGGATGAATCTTAGGGCTTTGCCTGTGCTAGGCAAGCACTCTACCACTGGGCTATAGTTCCTAGTCCACTGCCTTCCCCTCCCCACCCCAATCCACCTGCGTTTCTTTTACTTTGTACAAAAATAGCATGGAAATCTTACACAAAGCCTCTCAGGACTGCTGTAGCGTGCCTTCTGTGCCTTGCTAAATGCTGTTCCCTTTGCCCTCCCTTGCCCCACACGGTATCTCAGCCTTTAAGGCCCTTGCATATGTCACCTGTCACTCATTGTCACTCGGTCTTCATGCCTAGTTCCATGGCCATGTGACACAGCCCATAACTGCGTGCCTACAAATGCCAGCACAGTGTCTGGGTCCCTCAAGGAGCAGGATAGCCCCTGGGGCTCCAATAGCCTCTAACGGCTCACCCCACATACCTGCTTGCAGAATTCCTCCTCAGCCTCAATCTCTTCCTCTTCCTCATCATCCTCGTCCTCTTCTTGATCACTCTCGAAGCAGCCAACGGCGTCCACCGTGATGAAGTGGTCCTCCTCTGGGTTCACTGTCTCCTTTTCAAGTGTCTTCAGCTGCCCAAGGCATGGGCGAGGGACTTAAGTCAGCGATGGGCAGCTAAGGTACCACACACTTCTGAGGGTTCTAGGCCTTGCTCTATGATCTTGGGGAACGGATTCATGCTGTACTCAGGCAGTGGGGGTTACCTCCTTGGCCTTGTCTTTGTGTCCCTGGGACTTCACATGTTCCACAAACTTTCGAGGGGTCTTGAAATAACGGTTGCAGATGGTGCAGAAGGGCCTCAGGGATTGTTTGGCGATCTGGGGAAAGGAAGGCAGGCCATGTGGTGCATTGTAGCATTCCTAGGTACAAGCCACCCTATCAGTGGCCCGATGAGACCTCACCTGTCAAGCTTGCGGGCTCAACTCAGCTCTGACCCTACAATGGGACATGCAAAATCAGTTCTCTTCACTATGTGGGATGGTAGGTGGCAACAGAGACAGGCTAGGAGGGAGGACAGCCACCAAAGACACCTCGGTAGGGTAGAGGCTGAATAGCAGGGTGAGCTGGTGCCTACACTGAACAGATGGGCAAAGTAAAAGCCCAAAGAGAACATGACTGACTCACCAGAAGTCACGGGAGTGATAGTCACATGAAGACGAAAATAGACTTTACATCCCACTCCCACCCAGACCCCTCCCCCACCTGGTCTGGCTGTGGCACACACGGGGGCCTTCGAAGCATGAGCGGCTCTCGCACCTTGTGCTCCTGTGTCCTGCGGTGCTGGATCAGGTCTCCGGTGTAGTACACCTGGCAGGTGTTGCACCAGCGTTTTGGTGGAGGATCTCTGAACGGCACAATAAAAACAAAGCAGGGCATGATTCTCCTAGAGTGCTCTGGAAGCACATGTGTTTCAGAAGCCAGGGTGGGGGTCAGCCTACGGTGCCTCCTTGGGGGACCAGGAGTCTAGTACCAAAAAAGCAAGGAAAGAGCAGCAGCTCCTGACCCCGAGAGCTAACAGACGTGAGCTCTCTGTCCGCCAGGCAACAAGCAGAGCGGACACGAGTCTGCAGGCTCCTTGTCCTCAGTAGAACCCCCAACCATCGACACAGACAACTGTCCAGTCTGAGAAAGGCTTTCCTTTGTCTCCAACAGGGTTTACTGTAATCCTGAATAAGTCAACTCTGAGATCTCATTAAGCAGTTGGCTTTAAAGTCTTGATTTATGCCGGGCAGTGCTGGCACAGACCTTTAATCTCAACACTTGGGAGGCAGAGGCAGGCAGATCTCTGTGAGTTCCAGGACAGCCAGGGCTACAAAGAGAAACCCTGTCTCAAAAAAAAAACCAAAAAAACCCAGAAACAAGAACCTCTTGATCTTTCTGCCTTAGCCTCCTGAGTGCTGGGATCACAGGGCGAGTCACCATAGCTGGCTTTGTTGTTGACACTCTGAAACTGTGAGGCTTCAAAAGTTATTCAGGTTCCTGAGTCTCCTGAAATGCTGGGCTCTCTGGACACAGCCCTTATCTTCCAGTTCCCAAGTCTATGTGGTTCAGCTGTGACAGTACACCGGGCCTGGCAGCTCCTAGAGCTTCCCACCCAGCCTTGTCACCTCAAGTGCTAGTCCCAGACTTGAGGGAGGACATTTCAGACTAAGCACATCCTGACAGTGGAAGGACCCCTAGGACACTGTCACTACACCCCTCATCAGGCTGTTTTATAGACAGGGAAACTGAGGCCCGAGGTTATAGTTAATCAATGCAGAGCAATAATTAATCCCCAGGCAGATGGCAGGAGAGTATACTCAGGGCCTGGCCTGTGAGGCTTCCTGCTCACAACACGAGCCTCTGCCAGCCTTTACTCACTCTGCCTCTCTCTCCAGGATGTCCCGAGGCATGGGCAGCAGGGATAGCAGGCAGGTCTGGCTCGAATGCTGCATTTCCCCAAGCCGCTGCTGGTGCTGCGCCTCTGACAGGTGGTCCTGGAACTCCTGCAGCAGGAAGGAAGCAGAGGTGGCCATGAGCCACAGCCACAGGGAGGGCAGCTCCAAGCCCCATGCCACCCTGCATCTCTGAACCTTCTGCCTCCGTTTCTTCCACCTGTCACACCTGCGTGTGTCCCCACAGTGGCATTATTTCACACAGCTCAACACAGCCCAGGACAAGGATGGTAAACACCCATTTCTAGGAGCGCTGCAGTGAAGGAACATGGCTCTAAATGGTCCTGCTCACACAAGGACCACAGTCACAGGTAATAATAGTCGCTGGAGATAAGTAAGAGCATTAAAAAAACAAAACAAAACAAAACTGGGGGGAGCTGCAGAGATGGCTCAGAGGTTAAGAGCCCTGGCTGCTCTTCTTGAGGACCTGGGTTTGGCTCCCAGCACCCACATGGTGGCTCACAACCATCTGTAACTCAAGTTGCAGGGGACCCATGTGGCACATAGACAGACATATGTCAAAATACTCATACACATAAATAAAAATAAACAAGTCTTTTTTAAATTTGATTTTTAAAAAATATGGAATGCTTCATGAATTTGCATGTCATCCTTGCGCAGGGGCCATGCTAATCTTCTCCGTGTCGTTCCAATTCTAGCATATGTGCTGCCGAAGCGAGCACCAAGTCTCAAGTTTGTCTTTTTAAAGATAGATATTGAGTTCTAGCTATATTGCCCATTTGATCTTAAACTCACGTGCTTCCGTGTCCTGTTCCAATCTTCCAGGCAGCTAGGACGGCTGCAGGAAGCCCACACACGCCCAGCCAGGAATACCACGCATTTACTTATCCTGTTCATCACATGTTATATCTTGGTTGTACTTTTTAAATGTTTTATTTTGAGACAGGCTCTCTCTCACTAAGCTGACCAGGTTTCTGTTAAACTCATGATCCCCCGCCTCAGCTTCCCAAGAGACTAGAATCAACCCAATTGAGACTACCATTATTATTAATACTGTACTCGCTTGGGCTAGACCTGGGTCCAGAACTTCAAATGTCAAGAGCTGAGGCCCTAAGACGCACAGTGAGGTCGGTTCTTGGCTTTACTCACTAAACACAGGAAAATACACAAAAGTGGAATTTACTTCTGGAGGCCTTGTTGACCGGTCCAGACCAGCTTTTCCCTGACCCCAAAAACCTGCTCTACCAGCTGATCAGGAAATATCTAAGCAGATGAGCAGCCCCTGGGCAGTGTAGAGAAAGTAAGCCCACAGGCCTAGCGGGCCTGAGCCCCCCACCCCCACCAGCCCTGGGTACCTGCTGGCTGTTGCAGTTGGCCTTGCAGATATAGCAGAAGAATTGGAGGGTCTGCTTAGAGGGTATGCTGGGAAGGACAGGGGCGCCAGATGTGGAGTCCCCAGGGCGAAGTCCAGATGTGAGGGATGTGGTATTGAAAGCCCGGCTGTCACTGCTCTGCAGGATGGTGACCTTCAGGGAGCCCCCAGCCCCCCACATCTACAGTAGATTCAGAGACAAGAGTTTCCACCATCTGGTGTTGATGGTGTTCCAGCCCCGACAAGAACACCTGCCAGCATTGTTTCCTCAAAGTTTCCTGACAGGGAACCTGAGGTTACATTCTTATGTGACTGCCCAAAACTACACAGAGACTATGATAGCCAGGATTTGAACCTAGTTACGTGTGTATGTGTGTGTGTCACCATGTAGATCAGGCTGGCCTGAAAGTCACAGAGATCAGCCTGCCTCTGCCTCCATAGGGTTGGATTAAAGATTTGTTATAAGGTAGAGTTGGAGCCTGGGTCCCACAAGGAGGTTTTTTGCTAAGGTACTCTTTGCACTAAGATGACATCACCACACAAAGGACTGGCAGCTACAGTGTGGAGTGGCCAGACCAGAAGTACATCCAGATCTTAAGAAAAAAGACACAGGAGCAGAGAAAGCCCTGGGTGGCTCATTCATGCAGCCAGGCACAAGGTCACTGTCCTTTCCACACACGGGGAAACACAAAGAATCCTTAGGTAGCCTGGGGGCAAACAGATGCCAGGCCACCACCAGAGTCTCAGGCCTTCTAGTGGCTGTATGCAGGCTTACACACACACACACACACACACACA